AAAATATAAGATAAATTTATGTACTTAACCTAAAATTTTGTAAAAAAAAAAAAAAAATTCTCGCCTACCAACTCTTTCTATTTCCTTCAAATCAAGGAAAATGATTAAGCTGCCAGGATGCCGCTGGGCCCGAGCTCCGATCTATAAAGCTAATGTTTTAGTTATGTCGTGTTTGGCTTGTAAATTTAGTTGAAATCAGAAGAAAGAGAATCTGCTTCCCCGTGGATGGGTTTGAAGGAGACTTTCTACATATCCCACGGATCGCCGACGCTGTGCATCGACGAGACAATACCGGCGAGGCACTTTCTCAAGTCCTGGAAAGAGAAAGTGTATGGAGAGAGGCCCAAGTCCATCCTGGTGGTCTCTGGACATTGGGACACCGATGTACCTGCCGTCAACACTGTCGATACCCACGACACCATCTATGACTTCTATGGCTTCCCCGACGCCATGTACAAGGTATCGTTTAATTCTAGCCCATAGTTGACATTAATTCTTCTGATTCATGAATATGATTTTTGACGATTGAATACAATTGATAGGGAAAATGGTCTCAGAAAAAACTTAAGGGTATAAATAATTGTATACCCTCAAACTTTGTGGAGTTTTCTCATTTTCATCCCTAAATTACTTTGTGGACGTTTTTTTTCCCCCTTTCTGGGTCTTGTGACCCTCTTCTCTTACCTTTTTGCCAATCTCACCCACTTGTACGACTCAAGTCTTGGCAACTTTCAGTTCCAGTCTTGGATCCACTTCTCCCTGTAGGATCGTTCCTCTGCAGGGCAAGGCTTCATCACCCAATTTCTCGAGGATTTTCCTTCTCCTATTTGACTTCGCAGGGGTTCTTACGCTTTTGCATTTAAAAGAAATAAAAATTATGATGATCATGTTATGAATTATTATCTAAACATTAATTTTTGGAATATGTTATTTAGATACTAATTTTTCCATATATAGTGTTAATTCAAATGTTATTGGATAATTAATTTTTCATAAGTGGTGATAATTCTTCTTAAATTTATTAATATGTTTTGTTAATCGAGGAAGAATTTGTAATTTGCAAAAATTAGCCTGGGTACTTCATCGTCAAAGTTGGTCCACGGGAACGAGATGGCTCTTTTCGATCCTGCTCTGCCTTGTTGCCATTCCTACCCATTCCCCTAGCCCTTGATTTAAGTTGTTCATGTTCCTGCTCTACTCTTTGATACGACATTTAGTGAGTGGGAACTGTTATTTTCTAGAATACCTGTCCTGAAGAATGGCTTAATAGCTTAGAACACTCTTATGCCCCTTTGAAGATAGCTCTAGCACTCTGGTAATAGATGACTTTTTGCTAGGACTGTTTATATCTGATTTAACTTGATTAATTCAATCAAAATTAACCTTGGTTAAAATCCAATTTCAAACTAATATCAGTTTGGGTTGATTTGAATTATAAAATTTTAAAATCAATATAAATAGTTTGTTTTTGGTAGTTTTTAGTAAATATATTTTAAGAATTTTTATTTTTTTATACAAATTGTATTTTAAATTTTCCTTTCTTATTTTACTTTTCTTATTGCTTTAGTATAATATTTTTTTTTATGATTGTAATATAATATTAATTGTATTGATTTTTTTTATTTATTATTTTTCTACTATAAATCTACAACATAACTTAATTAAAAATAGTGTATCCCTAAATTATCCTTTATGCAAACAAAAACCCTACTCTCATAACTCTACTTTCTTGAGTGATATCAATATGAGCTTGCATGTCTTGGATGCCTAATTAGTTCTTACTCTTTTTTTTCATCTTCTTAATTCTTACTTTAATCCAGTAGTTGGTACTATCATTTTATTGTCTATGATGTTATTGTGCTTTATAATTGTATTTTCTATAGTTTGATGCTCTAAGTTTTTACTTGATTAAATTTATTTAAAATAGTGTTAAAAACCAATCAATTTGACCTAACCACACCAATAAGTATGGTTAATCTTTTGCATAGTCAATGATTTAAAATCACAACATGGTCAAGGATTAGGGTCCTCGTTTAATCTTTCGAATTTAAAATTGTGACTATGTGCTATAAAAGGGTGGTAAGATAGGTATGGTTACTAGAAGCAATAGGAAAGCTCAAGGGTAACCTCTCTATGTGGTACATAGCCCTATTTATACTCTATGATGACTATCGATATTTAAAGGCAATTTGCACTTAATTGTTTATATTTGTCATGAGCACTAGCTCTATATTGTAGTGCTATTGGACTTTTCTATTGTTTATGTTTTTTCTGTTAAGCCTATAAGGCAAGAGTTTAGCTTGAACTATATCTGATTTGATTTTTTTGATAAAATTATGTTTTTCTATAAAAAAAAATAAAATAAAATTATAGAACAGATGGATGGGTAGCATCGTGGTGATTTCAAAGGGTTACATCTGAGTCTTGTTGACATGGATATTAATTCAGGCTGTATGGATCAGTTTCTGCATGATTTAGCGGATTGTTTTGTCTTTGGATTCAGGCTGAGCCGCTGAGCTATATTACTGAACTTTGGAGTATTCTTAAATTATTTTGAAAAACTAGAAGCCAAATTTCATGATGAACTTTCGTCCGCTGTGATTATTATTATTATTATTATTATATCAATGAATTTATTATCCTGGTAACAGCTCAAGTATCCAGCGCCAGGAGCTCCGGTGTTGGCAAAGAGGGTGAAGGAATTACTGATGGCATCTGGTTTCAAACGTGTTGTTGAAGACAGAAAACGTGGGCTAGACCACGGTGCATGGGTTCCTCTTATGCTAATGTATCCGGAGGCTGATATTCCGGTCTGCCAACTGTCCGTGCAGTCTGAGAAAGACGGCACTTATCATTACCACATGGGAAAGGCATTGGCACCGCTCAGAGAGGAAGGTGTCCTTATAATTGGCTCCGGTAGCACCACTCATAACTTGAGGACCCTTCAGTTCAATAGTACTTCTGTTGCTCCTTGGGCTCAAGCATTTGATACGTGGCTCAGAGATGCTCTCCTTGAGGGAAGGTATGATGATGTGAACCAGTTCCAGGAGAAAGCACCGAATGCAAGGATGGCGCACCCTTGGCCGGACCACTTCTACCCCTTGCACGTGGCAATGGGTGCGGCTGGTGAGAAATCAAAGGCAAAACTTATCCACGAGAGCTGGGGTCTTGGTACGCTTTCTTATGCGTCTTATCAGTTTTCAACATCCGACTGATCAATTGATGGCCACAATGAAAGCGTCCGACTGAATTTATGTTGTTTGACTTTCACATGTTTTACGATAATCTTCAACAAATTAGAAATAAAGGATGCCGTTGTGACTGCTTTGTAATCAGGATTTATTGTGTTGATGCAAATTCTATATGTATTTATTTGGTATTTGGGTATGAAACCAAAGTGGATTTCAATTGCAACTGTAGGGTTACGAGACTCAAATCCAACATCAAGATTTTTTGACGTGGGGTGTCTGGATCTTCGACTCCAAAGGTCTTCTCCCAAACCTGGCTTAATTCAAAGAATCGTCTATTAGCATAATTTTTTTAAATGGTTTATAAACTTTATAAAATACTTCACAATATCTTACTGTGCAAAATTTTTGTTAATTTTAATTAAAAAAAAAAGTTAAAATGACAATAGTTACTAAGTTTGGATAATAATATACTTTGATGCTAAAAGAATATGACTATTAAATGAATAGTTTATAGAGATAGATTATTAAGAAATTGTAATGAGATTGAAGAGTTTATTAGCTTAGAAGAAACAATTTTATCAAGATTACAACAAGAATCTGTTAATATAAATCTAAATGATAGAATTAAGTAAGAAATATAAATTTTAAAATAAGATTAAAAAATGATAGAATAATTAAACTTAGTGCTGTCTCTAAAATCTCTCTTTTTGGTCATGTGGTAGAAAGGACTACAAAGGTGTGCTACTCACTTTGCTCAAAAGTGAGAAAAAGGATTTCTAGCAACTCTTACTACTTCCAAGTGTGGAATTCGGCTGTGGGTTGATAGAAGAGTACTGTTAAATAAATTATGAGATGTGTCCTAGTCAAATGATTGTTACAGAAATGAGGGTGCATTTTGCATAAAGATATATGAATAATTGCCTTGAAAGAACATAAGGGACTTCCTACAACTAGAGCTAAAATATTAGTTTGTTGATCAAAATAAAAGGGAAAAAGAAATACAATGCATGGCAAGAAAACTAAATTGCAAGAAGGAAGTGTGATGCCGCTATGAAAGCATGAAAGCGTAAAGGAAATAAAGGTTATGCAATCAAGGAAGCATAAAACTAAACTTAAAGGAAGTTTAGAAGATGAATTTAAAGTAAAGTGCAATAAATTAAATATTAGGAAATCAAATACATTAATGAAGATGTTTGAAACAAAATAACAAAAACTAGAGTTATAGCTAGGGCAGCATGGAATTAAGGACTAAACTAGAAAGCCTATTTGAGAAAGTCAGATCTAAACTAAGATATTGCTTGTGAAAATTAAAATACAGATAGCACTGAGCTAGTTGTGTGAAAGGCAGGTCTTCCTTGCTTGATCTCATCATTAGTTATTTATAGCACCTTGGCAGCATGGTGGAGTTCTGTTGGCAGCATCTTAGAAACCAATGACAGTGTAAAAGCTGCAACAAATTGATTAACCTGTTGGTGCTGTAGATCGTGCTTTTAGAAATTCGTAACAATTGAACAGATTTGTTGATGATGTGGAAACAACTGTTGAGCTTTATTTAGGAGAAATCTACATCAACAAAATGATTCTTTAACAAAAAAAATACCTACCAACATGGATGACATATGGCACCATTCTAGTTGTTGTAAAAATGGGTGTAAACACTTAGAAATATCATAAACTCACTCCTTTTAATTTAGACAAAATCCTACATTAAACTCTTGAACTTACTCCATAATTTTTATTGAGCCCCTAAACTTTTATTGAAGCAAATAAGCCCCTGAACTTAGTGATTTAGGCAATTTAACCTCTGTTTTTTATGATTGACTTAACACTTGTTTGTGCATTGCTTGTGTGAACAAGATATTGATATGTCATTACCTATGTGGTGGGTATTAACATTGTCCACTCAAGTAAGGTACAAACGGGCATTAAGTTTATCATAACGAAGACGGTTAAATTGGTCATATTGACAAGTTGAAGACCTTATTTCAAAAAATTGAGGGGCTTATTTGCTTTAATAAAAGTCTAGGGGATTAATTGAGAATCTGAAATAAGTTTGGACACTTAACATAGGGTTTTACCAAACTTTTTAATTTAACTTAATAAATGGAAGAGTTAGATAAAATATTAGAAATAGAAGAAACAATTGGAAGAAGAAGAAAGAATTAGAGAGATATAATTTGGCAATGCAAAGATATATGATATTTTTATTATTTTCTTCACCATACATTTGTAAGAGTACAAGCCCTATATATAAGGGTCAATGGGTGATAGGGGTTTCAAGGATTAAACACCTATTAAATAGAAGGTCACCTACTAATGGAGGGGTTACAAGGTAAGCATTAGAAAGTGATGTGTTAATCATTCCTAAATAAGAGCTACCACCATTAGATGCATGGGGAAGTAGGGAAGTTACTCACCATTATGTTGAGCATGTAAATGCATGAGTAAGGGGGAGGTAAAGGTGAGGAAGGTAAAACATCCATAATAAATTGATTCATAACAAGAATTTATATATATATATATTATAATTAAGTACTACAAGCAAATACAAAGTTTATTTAGCTAATGTAACTCCAAGTGTATGTGCCCTTTTTGGTCATCTACTTAAAAAAAACCCTCTTTTAATCCTTCTACTTTAAAATTTTTGTCATTTAACACACCACGTGTGTAAAATAATAATGGAAGGATTAAAAATTGGTTACATAATAAATTTTAGGAACTAAAAATGAGCTTTTTAAAGTAGAGAAATTAAAAAGAAACTTTTTCTTAAAATAAAGGAACCAAAATAGAGTTTTAACCTTTTTGAAATGGGTGTTTTCAAGTCAGTGTGCAAAAAAAATAAGTATAGGAATACTTAAGAAAAAAAATAAATATTATTAATAAATTAATACATATAGAGACTTTATTAAGTGTTTAAATAATTTCACATTTATTCCTACACTTTTTTTTATAGGTTCACTTGAAATATATATATATATATATATATATATATATATATTTGGCCTCCACGCAAGTTGGTTCAAAGCAAGGTAACTTCACATGTTGAGAGATGAATGCATGATCAAAATTTGGTGTAACTGATGTGTGTGAAAATGATATGTAAATAAATCTTAACTTATATGTATGGATAATTTGAAATTGATATTTGAAATTTTCTACATATTTTGAACTTGATGATATCTCATATTGATATTTAAATTTCTATAAGTAGAAAAGTGTTGTGCAATGTGATATAAAATGATCACGATTTGATCATTAATAGGGGAGGATTTCCTGAACATGGAGTTGTCCTCCTCCAATTAATGACCTTATTTTTGAAGTCTGACGCAAATAAATGTGCAGAAATGCAAATTCTTGTAAATAAGTACTTTTTTTAATTTAAGATCAATTGCTAAATGAAACAATTCAGCTTACAAAATTGCTAATTAATTCAAAAAATTAAATAAATTTTGATTCCATTGCAATTTTGGATGGTTTCTACATAAGCCATTGCATGGAATGTTATACTTCAATATATTAAATAGACTTTGGTTTCCAAAAGCCCAAAACTGAAATGCTAATTAATTGTAATTTAATACTTTTATTTAACAGACCAATTTAATAATTTGTCCGTGTGAAGAAGATGTCCATTTAGGAGAATTAGTGGCTGTCTATACATTTACCATCTAATGCAAGTTGAATCAGTAACATCTATTTCAAATTTTTCTCAAAGAAATTATATACAAGACAAAAAGACAGAAGCCAGCAATGAGAAATTTCTCAACCTTCGTCATTCTTGTTACTGCCCTTCTTATTGCCTTAAGTAAATTTCATCTAATTTTTTAAAAATTGTTATAATGTTTCTTCAAAAATTAATTCAATAATTAGTCACATCCTTTCTAAATAATATGGATTATCGTTGTCGGAAATGGACCGATAGCAGTGAGTGCCAAAACTTGTACAGAGCTACTGAAATCCACACCTGAGTGTATTAAAATCGATTAGACTCAAGACTGTATCATCAAATACGGCGCTAGTGCTATTGGAAGATGTCATCAATTTCTATCTTGTTATTGTGATTATCCTTGTTAATTTTAACCCATGTTGAAATGGTTAGAATATACGGCCACCAATAACTAATTTAGGCAAGAAATGTCTTTCTTCATCTTTTCCACAAATTTATTTAAGAATAAAGAAAAAAAATTTTATATATATTACATTATTTAGATAAGGACCATGATTAGTGTATACCTGAGTGTTTCCGGATGTGCACCCCTCCACATAAAAAAATAAAAAATAAAAACACCCGGTTGGGTTTTTTTCTTTTATGTGAAGGTGTGCACACATCATTTTCCTTTAGATAATTGTCTTATAAGATGGAATCTATGAATTATCAGTGTTAAGTAACAAAAGTAATCTTATGTCCCTCCACGGGACGTCAAAAGGGTGGTATCAGAGATGGCGAGTATATCTTACCCTTCCTAGAGGAAATTTCTTTTTGAAACCAAAAAAAAAAAAAAAAAAAAAAACCAATAAGTAAATTAAATTTTGTAGACGCCAATTCATAAGATCAAATAATTCAGTAGAATTGAATTTAAATACCAATATTTATTTCATTTTTTTACTGATCATGTCTTAAAATATAAGTATTTGACTTTTTGAGTTGTAACTTTAGGTAATACTTTTTTATAGTATGTGAATGATAATTGAGATTTCCTTTTTCTATATGTAACTTTTGTTAAGTAGTTTCATTTCATAAAAAAAAAAATTAATTATCATTCATATAACATAAAAAGATATTATCTAAAATTATGTAAAAAAAGGGTCAAAGAACTTATATTTTGTAATAGCGAATCTTCTTTCGCCAAATTAACTTGGGGATTTTCATACCGTGGTCTATTTTAATTTTATCATTATGCTAACTTAAATGCTAAAATTGGTCCATGGGCTTTGTCAATTTGCCCACTTCGGTCCCTTAACTAATATTGAAACTTTTTACTCCTTAAACTTGGTGAACTTAACACAAAATTGGCCTCATGTCAAGGGAAGTCCATGTGTGCCGTTAACTTGAATAGAAATTCGATTTTCTCAAAATTTTTTGCACGTTTTTAAATGGGACCCTTTAGCACATTAGACCAAAAATTGCTAAGTTAGAATCTCACTCATTAGATGTGTTCATATTTGAACCAATTTGATTGATCCGAATGCAAGAGAGCAAGCATTCAAATATGAA